TGCCCCCGGTTTACGCCATTATTTCATTCTTTTCCTATCGCTTCTTCCGACATTACACCTACTACTCGTTCATCGAAGTCGGTACGCATCTGTCTACATCTCTTCCTTGTATATATCTAAATTTGAATTTCGACAGCATATGAAGTACTGCCGTTCTATGATCTCAAGTTGTGGTGCTGATAATCTCCTGAAAGGCTGTCACGCTAAGCGCGTTCCTGTTGGTCGTTTTTTCCGCCCTGGTGCTATCTCTGCTGAATGAACGGTACACCCAGTCTTCTCCTTATTGAATATGTGGCGGCCACGGCGTCTGGACGCAAGGCCGAGAATGCCATCGCTCGCAAAGACAAGCGACCACTACCCATTCCCGTGCGCTGCCCTGTTCTATTGCTTCTATGATCTCGCGAATGATCGTGCATCCTACAGTTTTGTTTTTGGAGATATAGACCAACAAAAGTATGCTTATTACTCGTCCATTTCACTGACGGATCTCACAAGTATTGATAGGCCTATTTCATGTATACCGTCAAAGTAATATCTTTCCGCTATGTTCCGAGCGTATTGCTAACCATCCATCCTCAGTGGTCCGTCCTACAATATGTAATAATTCGACCTCGTTCGTTGTTCCTTTCTTGCATCCTTTCTTCTTTTTGCTTACTCGACCCCAGTCGCCTCCATCGCCGGCATCGTCTGCGAAAGGTTTGGAGTACTATGCGAATCAGCTGGGTACAGCGTCCATTATGCCAGTGTATATCTCGAAGCGATCGACTTCGTAAGCATAAGGTGAGTGTCGATCATCTCAACGGCATCATGACAACTAATGTCCTGTGTTTAGTATCGCCCTATACGGCCTCCTCGTGTTTTATGGCCTGACGGCGGACGAGCTGAAAGGCCGGCGACCCCTTGCCAAGTTTCTGTGCATAAAACTCATTGTCATGTTTACGTTCTATCAAGCGTTCGTCGTGAGTATATCCAGCAGCTTTATTTGTCTATCCTTAACTAAGCATCGCGGCCCAGTTTGGAGCTTTAGAAGGTAGAGTAATCCATGGTATGTTTTCATTCTCCAGTGGCACCGTCTCCAAAATCTAAGGAAATGACATGACTATCTTGCATAGAAACGGCATATTGGACTGCGACAAACATATCCGACGGACTGAACGCCCTTGCCATCTGCATTGAGGTACGTTTACGAGTGGAATGTTTTCGACCCCCAACATTGACTTGGAAATGTTGTGACGCTAGATGGTGTTTTTCTCTGCTCTAATGCTGTGGGCATATAACGCTGCTGAGTATCACAAACCCGGAGCTTCTGCAACGAGTATCTGGCGTCCACTCTGGGATTCGTACGCCGTCCCCTCTTTATCTAAGTAGAAATTCAGCTGAAACCTTCAATCTCCAGAATAAACTATAGTAAGTCGTTGGCTACTCTCATCCCCGTTGGCGCTAAACCCCATATCCTACAGGTGACTTTGGCCGTGAAATCATCGGCTCCCTCCGCTTCTTCTTCGAGTCCAGCTCTGGAAAGCCCCACCATACAAATCCACACTCCAAGATGAACTTCGGCGAGGCCTTTGGCGTTGAAGGCGGTGCCGGCCATGCCCATGCGATAGGCAGTAGCAGTGGGTTAGCGGTCCAAAACCCTGCTGCCAGACCGAGCTACGACGAGCACATACCTTTAGCAACCTATGAGAGCTCGTATCCGCCGCAACATTCCAAATAACTACACATAAACTCATGTGGATAGAGGGGATGGGATGGGATGTCGGAGAGGCGTGGTCATGGCCTGGGCAGGCCATGAGATGTGGTCGGAGAGTACTTGCTTAGATCTGACAATGACTGCTATTGGATACCTTTTACACTCTTACTATCGTTTATGCGGACTTGATACCTTGCTAATTGTATAATTCGAAGTGCATCAAACTGAATGTGTATTGTCCAAAGTACATGGGATCGGGACGTCTGACCTCTATTCACCAAGGATGTCGGAGGGGCTTGCCGGATAAGTGACTCATTACTTGGAGTCGGCGCATAGTCCTGGGGTAATTCTCGGATCAGTTAGTAAGCACAGAGGTGGACGAGGAGGAGGACAAGTTTGGATTGCTTAGTCATCTGATTACGCTGCGGAGTCGAAGGGCACTTGTCCTGGACGGCACCATAACTCATACACCTCACTCATAGATATATCATGTCGGGCCTTGGAAGCTGGCTGTGGGGGACGTCGCAGCTCGACGACGCTGTTGGTGAGTACTTGCAGGCTTGACTGGGTTGCGTCATCTCTAACCCGACGTCTCCAGACAAAGCCACCTCGGAGCTATTACCAGCAGGAGCGGAGGATATCGCGCTCAACCTCGAAATATGTGACCAGATTCGCTCCAAATCTGTGCCAGCGAAGGATGCCATGCGTGCACTGAAGCGCCGACTCAACCACAAGAATCCTAACGTGCAGAACCTAGCACTCAGCGTGCGTCGCATTCGGACTGGATCTGTGGTGGTCACTCATTAATTCTTCACAGTTGACCGATATTTGCATCAAGAATGGAGGAGACCTCTTCCTGACTGAAGTTGCCTCAAGAGAGTTTATGGACAACCTCGTCTCGATCCTGAAAATACCTGCTTTGAACAACGACGTCAAGCAGCACATCTTGAGGCTTATTCAGAATTGGGGCATCGCCTTTGAAGGAAAGCTGACTTTAGGATATGTGGGCCAGGTTTATAAGAACCTGATCAGTGAAGGTGTGTACCGTCAGCATTCCAAAAACGGACTTCCCGGACTTATTGTTTCAGGTTACACTTTCCCCCCAAAGGACCTTGCTGTGGCGAACTCTGCGATGGTAGACACTCAAATTGCCCCAGAGTGGATTGACTCTGAAGTCTGTCTTCGGTGCCGGACTCCGTTCACCTTCACCAATCGGAAGCACCACTGTCGGAATTGCGGTCAGGTCTTCGATCAGGCGTGTTCTTCCAAGTCTCTCCCTCTGCCACACTTTGGAATTACGCAGGAGGTTCGGGTCTGCGAAGGATGCTTCAACAAGCTAACGAGGAAGTCAGACAAAGTGTACGTCATTCTGATGTTCTTCGCGATGGTCTTCTTACTGTCGTTTTAGTGATAAAGGACACCGACACTCTACCAGTCTGCATGGCACACGTCATCGTAGTGCCCGGGAGCTTGCTGACGCTGAGCTTCAACGTGCAATCCAACTCTCCTTACAGGAGGTTGGTGCTGCTAATGGCCACGCACGAGCGGGATACGTGCCCTCGCAACCCTCTAACTGGGAGTTCTCCGAACCTCCCATCGTAGATCGCGCCTCACATCCAATCAAGCCAGTCACCAATGAAGAGGAAGACGATCCTGATCTCCGTGCGGCCATCGAAGCTAGCTTGCGGGAGGCCCACGCACCTCGTCCCAGTGCTCCTATCGCGCTCGACTCACCTCGGACTGAGTACGCTGGAGCAGGCTATTCACAATCGTATCCCCCAGCTATTGCACAAGCTCCTCTCCCTACTATCCCCAACTATGACCTCGAGCCCTTGGAGTCCGACGCGATCCTGACGTTCAGCCAGACAGTCGAGCAGGTCGAAACCCAGGGTGGCCGCGACATATCGAGATACCCAGCTGTAAACGATCTGTATGAAAAGGCGAACAGTCTGCGGCCGAAGTTGGCGTTGAGCCTGGACGACGCCGGTCGGAAAGAACGTGAGTCTTGCCCTTACGACACCATGTCCTGTATCAACTTATATTTTCGTCCAAAGAAATGCTGTCGGACATGCATGATAAGCTGTCGCAAGCCGTCAAGCTCTACGACAAGCTGTTGACAGAACAGGTGGCACATCCACGCTGGCGATCACCACAACCAGCTGCAAACACATATCACCCCGCGGAAGCCAGCTACGCCCCGGCCACCGGTTACAACCAATGGGCCTCTCAAACCCCAGCTTCGGCGTCGGCATACCAGCCACAGTCTGAGCCTTCACGGGTACCTCAATCACCCCAGGCGTCATATTCCGAATACCAGCCCCAATACACCCCACAGCCCTATGCTGCTCCACCACAGTCACAATGGCATCAGCAACCTGCGCAACCTGTCCAACATTACTCCCCTACTCCCGCCGTCCCGACATTCTCACCGCCTCAGTCGCCGCCAGCACCAATGCGGCGCGAGTCACAATATGCCGAGCCCCCGCAGCAGTATCAGGCGTACGCGGCACCAACCCCGACCCCGTCACAACCCTTAACCCTCCCTCCCGTCACACTCAACCCGCAACAATATCAGCCTCCTGCTCAGGCACAACCCCAATATGCTGCATCTCCTCCACCTCCTCCACAGCAGCAGCAACACCAACCTCAACAGCAACAACGCTCCGCCCTTCCCCCGTCGTCTAACCTGAGCCGCCATAAATCCGTCTCCTATGCCTCACCGCCGCCACTCGCTCCGGCACCACCTCCCGTCAATGGGCATGTTACGCGTAGCAGTACTGTTGCATCACATCTTCGGCAACAACAACACCTGCAACACCAGCAGGCACCGGCGGTGGTGACACCTCCCTCGGCGCTGCCGCAGTTCCCGGTGGCGCCGACGTCGAATCCGCAGACGTTCCCGATGTATGGGCCACCGATAACGGCGGGGTTCGCGCCGCCGGAGGAGAGGAAGGAGGCGCTGTTGATTGATCTGTGATTCAGTGGGGGAGAGGATTATTTTGTATCGTTCTTGTTTTTCGACGTCAGCGCTACATAGGGTGGTCTGCTGCTCTGCTGGATGCTTCTCACGCATGGGTACTACTGTACTCTCAGGTACATCCAAATTGTGTATGTGGTACTGGTCACTTGTCTTAGATATATATACTATCCTGTTTTTATGATACATGTTATGCAATGGTGATCCAAACTCAGCCTAGTCATATGGATAGGATAAGGACAGGACAGGCTAGTTGCTTGCGACTTTCTCGAAGGAGGCGTAAGTACTACTTTCAATGAAATCTTTCTAACCCGACATCGACGAGTACATGCATTAATGGGGTAGTGGTAACCTGGATCGTTGCCATGTAGCCTGAGTCTTGTAGGAAAATAACTGTTCTCGATCCGCTGGGAGTTCGATTCTCTCTTAATGCATCGGTAAAGTTGTTGGAGCCAATTTTTACCTCCCCAAGCTAAATACGTAGCAAAGTCATCCTGCCAGCGATAGAACATCCCATTTCTCTGATAAAACATCGCGCCTCCACCGTAAGCATTGCGATGACTGAAGACGAGTAAGGTTCAAGCTCAAGTCTAAGGACATCCAGAGCCTCCCTAAACCTGGGGTATGCCTTTCCCAAACGCAATCATGAACAAGTCCAGCCATAAAAAATTGACAACAACCATGTATGTACAGTACACAACATTAAATCACAACACGCGTACGCCTCTCGAGACGTAAAAAACGAACAAACAATTACCGGCCAATGCCCATCTTCAACAACGCACCCACAACATCCACGTCGTCCCATCGCGTGTCGACAGGCGCGTTGCCGTCGTAGGACGCGTTCTTCTTCCTCTGGATATAAGCCAAGGTGTTCCTGAAATGCCGATTGATCATCTCGGGGGTCTGCACGCCCTCGATGAGCCCGGGTGGGGCACGCTGAGAGGGGTGGACGTCGGGGGAGGAGATGTTGTCGATACTTGAGGTTATAAGCTCCACCAAGCTATTGACGAATTTGGGAGCCACCTACGAGGGAGGAGATATTAGTTAAAGCAACCACTGCTTAACGACGAAGACGAGAACACTCACAGCTGGTGCACCGCGGTCGAAATAATATAAATAATGGTCCAAAGTGTCGCAATACAGCTGTACAGTGACGATCTCCTCGATCGCTGAGTTAGCAATGCGAAGAGACTTCTGGAGGCACTCCAGAACGCGTTTACTATCTTGATAGGGGTACTAGGTAGAATAAAACAAGATCAGCCGCCGGTTAGAAGGGAAAATGAGAACTTATGTACCGCTTTGGCGGTAGCCTCGCCGCCTTCCTCTTTTACAGGGGTCTTTTCTGGTGTATCCTTCTTCTCACCAGCAGGAGCTTCACCATCGGCATCAGCAGCCGGCGGTGCTTCTTGCCACCAGAGATGACTAGCCAACCCGACCGCGGTAGCTTGATGGCTCTTCTTGAGCAGCTTCGCTCCATGCAGCGCAGCCTTCGTGATCAAAGTGTCGTAGTTATCCACACCAAACACCTTGGCACCAGCAAGCGTGCCAATGATGAGCGTAATGGCCTGTAGCTGTGCGCGGGACTCTGAGATGCTGTCCTCGTACACGCTGAACGCCTGCACATAGAAGTCGTATGTGAGGTCTTCAAAGCCGCATTCATCCGAGATTTGGGCGGCGAGGAGGAACAGTCGGAGCGCGATTGTGGGCGCTTCGATTTGGGTGGAGAGGATGGATGTGAGTTGCCGGACAAATTTGAGGATCGTGGAGACCTTGGTCTGCCAGTCTGACTCCTATAACAAGAGCAGGGTGAGTGTTCCTGACAACGTGGAGGAGAAAGGAACGGCACGCACGACGTGTTCTCGGTTTTTATACCGCCGGCAAAGCTTGATGGATGAAGTGATGAGGGCAGGGAAGGTGAAACGCATGCGCTCGCCTCCTGCGTCGAAGTGTCTCCGTGCGATTTGTAGAAGCTGTTGGCCATAAACGTCAGACGCGGAGGATATTTTCTCAACACAGCCGACATACCTCGAACTGAACATCCAGAGATTCTGCGCGGAATAGATGCACCATCCGCGCCACCCATCCTTGCTCCTCTGCCATCTCCTCCCGCTCGACAAAATATGGTCCTTGTCTCCGGACGTCCTTGATGTTCATATTCATCTGCGCGGCGTTCCCTCCTCCAGGCATACTAGAGTCTGACTGATCTTTGATTAGTACATGGCAGAGGTCGAGGACGCCGTCAACATCTTCGGGTGACTCCACGATCGTCTCGTTCTTCAATACAGAGGATATGATGGAATGTGCGATGGATCGTCGGGTTGAGAAGAGTTGTTTTGTCAGGAGCGGTGAGTAGTTGGGAATCGCGAGAAGGGTAAGGACGGATTGGTAGGAGTTGATGGGCGCTACGAGCAGAGCGGCGAGGTTGGATGTTGTTTGTGGCGTGTGCAGGTCGGAGCTAAGATGCCATATGAGAAGGCTCCTCGAATTAACTGGCAGGCTACATACCTCTCTTGGAATTCCTGTATCTTGTCCGCGGTGAAACCAAGAACTTGATCAACATATTCCAGCCTGTCCGGGTAGCAGCTAAGCGACAGGTTCGTCAAGGACACCAAGAGGGCGGTGATATCTTGTATCGACAAGTCTGGCCGAGCCTTAATATGATACAGTGAGCCAAGCAACTTAATTTCAAACGTTTGCACTGACCTTGATTAGCTCAACAACCTGCTTCCAAAACACTTCAAACAAGGGGACGTCCTCCGGCACACCTCTGAATTTGCGCACAGGCGAACCCTCCTTGTTCTTTCCCTTGCCCAAACTCTCCTCCAACCCCCCGTTCGGCACCTCAGGGGAAGTAGGCGATGACACCTCAGACTCCGACTCTACCGCTGTGGTTGTAGATTGAGGAGTCGGTGGAACGGAGCCCCACGCGTTGCTCTCAACAGTTGGCGACAAGGTACGGTAGGCGCCGTCTTCACGGGCCTTGGATTTCTGGATCTTAACCTTTTCCGCTAAGCGGCGGGCAGCCGCCTCCTCCTGTCGTTTCGTCTCCTCTGGGTCTTCGGCTTCGGCTTCACGGGCAGCATAAGCTGCGAGACGATCGATGAGGGCGATGACTATTTGTTTAATGTTAACTTTCGGGTGTAGCTGGGCGGTGGCGGAAAGGAAGAGTCCAAGAGTGTGAAGGTGGAATTCGTCCGTGAACACCTAGAAAGAGGTAAGAATATGATATGCAAATCGGGTTTATAGTGTTTGTGACGTACTTGGATCACGACCTCCATAAGATATTCCTGGGCTATCACGTCTTTACAGTTGACCACCTGCTCCAAGATACTAGGAAGTATCGTCCGCTGGTACATATCGAGATCCACGCCGTCGAGTTGGCTGAGACGGACTAGGTTTGTTCCCACTAAAATCCGTAACTCTCGACGTTCCAACTCGCGTTTCTCGCGATCTCGGGAGTGGCCTTGATGTTGCAGTCGGACCCAGAGTTTGTTCATTTCGATAAAGTTGGTCAATACGAAGGATATGGAGTCTTGTAGATTTCCAGAGGGCCTATGCATTCAATGAGTCGAGGGAGAATATGAAGGCAATATATGACGCACCCAGTGTCGATTCCGAGAGGAAGGTGATCCCTAGTCTGGCCACTAAGGTAGTGACGGAGGAAGAGACCACGTATGGGATGGAGTACACCTCGCGACATTTCCATCATATCCTTCATTATTTCCTTGACTGGTGCTTCGGGGATGGACATGTAGACCGAGCCGACCGTGATCATAAGATATAGTCGAGGAATGATGTTGCCAGCATATTGAACGAGCTCGTACAGGTCCGCTAGATGATGCCGTGATTGGGTATGTGCATCGTAAAGGTAGTTAGAGAGGTGTCGCAGGGCATCGAATACAGCCATATCTGCAGAGGGGTGTTAAATTATATTGCGTATGTCCCAATTGGAGGTGCACATACAAAGTTCGTAATACTGCTTTGGTGACAACGAAGAGGTCCTTAGCTCTGCCAACATCAAGCTGGCGCTTTTCAACGCATCCATGAGTTCATCCAACTCCTGCAATGATTCCAGAATATCAATCTACAGAATGATAGTTGCTCCCAAACGAACTGCGGACGTACAAGGTGCCGTTTCATCTGCTGAACCTGAATCTTGACGGTATTCAGAGCCTCGCTGAGGAGCTTACCCTCCTCGGGGGCTTGTAGGGTGGACATGGTGGTGACGGCGGTGGAAGAGAAAGGTCCACCGTGCAACGTACAAGCTGGTCAACGGTGGATTCGCGCCAAAGGTCGATTTGCACAAGTTTGGCCCGGCCGACGCCCCACAAATGGAAACCTAACCATGTCTGCTCAGAACGACCACCTCAACCTTCAAGTGTTCCAGGAATCGAGTGGGTATGGACATGCCCGCCTTCAAACATATGAATTTACATGCTGCTCTTCCTCCACTGTCAGGTTGTGATCGGTTATGATGGTCCGGCCAGTTATTGCCCTGATCTTCTGCCTCGTGTTCAGAACCATGCTGCATTAAAAGCATGTACCACCACCACCCATCACAGTACCGAGCAGTACCGCCTTAGTGCTTGCACGCTTCTTAAATGCACCGAAATACCCTTTCGAACTGTCCACCGATGCAATTCGAACATCCAACTAACCCATCGCCTACTTAGACTGATTCTCCAAATACATCGTTAGTGTCGTACCACGAGGATAACGATGATCGGGTGGAAAAGTACGCGGTATTTCAGTAAGACCTTTCTAGTATCGTCTGTGGGCACCTCACCCCGAATGCCGTACTACTCACTTTTCTGAACGCATAGCATATAGAATACAAGCAAAACGGAAGATTTGCGACTCCTGGGGATATTGAGCTTTCTAGACGATAATCCTCAAGCTGGCGCAGCAGGTTGCGCGCGTAATCTGTCTCAGCGTCTTCGCAGCTGGGCTCGAAGCAGGGTGTTTCTCGTGATCCCACCCATCCGGACAGTCACAGGTCCAATAACCCTCACTCTGGCATTGCAAAGGGTCCTTCTGACTTCGTCCGTAAGGCTATGGCTAGCTATAGCTGTAGTAACAACGCTCGAAGGTTCGGGTGCTAGCACCGTCCACCATAGGTTCCTTGTGATCACCATTAAGAGTTCGATATGCTTACACATTCACAAGAGCTGTCCGACAACATCAATATTTGGAGGTTTTAGGTGTCATCGTCACCCTCAAGTATACATATATATTTCAGCCTTGTCCACACTGCACGTCAATTCTATCCACATCATCTTTTGTGAATTTGTTTGCTTTTTTTACAGGGCCAGCTCCCACCTATAACGTCCCAAGTAAGTACTCTCATACCAAGAACGTCCACGGACGGCCGCAGTTAGTATTCTTCTGTTCAATGCGTCGCAGGACAAGCTTGCTGACTATTCTCCTTCCC